ATGCAGGATGCCTCAGGGGGAGGATGCAACATAACCAGCACCAGAGGGCTTGAGACATCTGTTGGAAGGTTCCAAAAAGAGCCAAAGTCCTGATTTCCGCAGTAAAATACATCCAGAGATGGATGCTACCCCAATCCAGCTGAGGCTGCTTCACCTACACAGCTCTTCCCTTCATGGAGCATGGTTAAGATGTCAGGGAACCTGACTGAGATCACGAGGAAAGCCTACACGTTCCAGATAAGTCTCATTGTGTGCTGGTAGCGTTGACAGCTGAAACACTATTCCCATTCTGGACATCACATGTTCCTTCAACACAGATCTGCAGCACCAATACTTTTTCTTGCCCCAGTAACCTGGTAACAATGGTGTAGAGAGCTCCACAGCCACTTAAAAGGCCATCACAGTATCATCCGAGTGACCCATAAGACCATTTGTACAGAAGCAGTCTTCCTTCCTGCTCCCCTGTAATGCTTCTGAGCATAAACTCCACAGCAAGAGGATTCACTGCAGATAAGTAACATCAGAAGCAAGAGGACCAGCTTTCTCTATGTGCTTCTCAGCCCCAGGAGACTCGCAACCATCTGAACACTTCAGACTCCCTCCACACTTTGGCACCTGCTCCAGCAGTCATGCACGTCACCTAATTCAACCCCTCTGACTCACCATTTACCTTCTTCCTGGAAACATACCAGAAAAGGCAGAAAGCAGCTTGTACCTTCAAAACACCGTCTGGGCCCCAAACGACTTTGTAGACTCTTGTGTCAGAAAGATATACCCTAACCACAGTGACCTGTATGAGGGATGGAGGTGGGCAGGTGATCTAAGTGGCTCTGAACTCCTAAAATGGAAGTGAGGTGATACGGAGGCTGACTGATGAAAAATACATCTGAGCTCCAAATTAATAACAAATAAACACAGAGATAGGTATTTAACTCTTCCAATGTTACTCTGCAATAGCACTGAAAAGCCAAAGTTTGAATGCTCAGAGTTGAGGCAGCTTTTACTAAAGTTCTTTCTACTAGTGTTGCCATAGTCTTGCTATCACAGTGACACACACACAGAGAAAGGAGTGCCAGCCCTCCCACTGCTGGTAACCACACTGTGTCAAACCCAGCTCCTGAAATAACAGCAGGAAGAGCTATAAATAATGACAGTATCTTTAAACAATCAGGTTAAATGGATGGACAACGTGAACTGCCACAGTATTTGGTCTCAAACAGGGAGGGTAAAGATGGATTTCAAACATCCATATTCATCTCCATCCTGCAATTCTGTAGCACAGCAACAATTGCAAGAGATGTGCATTGTTTTCTTTCAAAAGTCAGACTGCATCTTTCATCTGGGCGCCTAAACTGAATACCTACTTCAGCAAGATCCCACTGTTAAAAGTCCACATCACGTTTTGCTCTCAGAGAGAGAGCATGTGAGCCAAACCCTTGAAAACCAGCCAGATCTGTCCCCAGAGGGCAGCAGTAAAGGAGCCAACCCAACAGTTTCAAACCAGTCAGGCAGAGTGACAAACTGCTCACACCAAACAACTCTAAAGACAAAGTCAGCCTGAGCTGCAACCTGCCATTACCATGGCAAGCAGGAATGATGATAAAGCTGCCAGGCCATCAGGGAACACAACATGGCTGGCAAAAGGAAACTGAAAAGCTCCAAGTAATGATTATTGCAGCACATAGGAAAACACTTGCTAACCTGAAGATGCAACCAGAGCACCCAGGACAGCAGCCTAGCTATGGTCTTGCAGCGTCTGCAAGATAAGTTTCAGGCCCTAAACATCTCAAACTGCTAAAAGAGAAATAATCTTGTAAGTTCATGTGTGATAGTGGGAGAAAAAAGAAGATTCAAGTGAATTCTGAGAGCTCCTGACTTCAGTGGTTCCGTACACAGGTCACACAAACTAAAATTAGAACTATGACTGCTCCTCAGGCAAAGAAAGCCTGATCTCTTCTAGAAGGTACCCACAACGCACAGCTGTGTCCTGAAGAGTTGTACCAACATATCCCTCCCCAGAACTCCTTATTACAGAGAATATACTTACTGTTCCTGCGAGGATATCATGGGGACAGCAATCCAGAAGGTGGCTCTTGCAAACACGATCGTCTGTAAACTTCACCCTTTGTCTGGTTTCATCTCCTGAAATTCATTTGTGGTTTTAAATAAGGAGACATTAGAATATTGACTCAAGAACAAAGACCTCGGTATGATCATTTCACCTTAATATGCAGATTAAAATACCTGGTGCTCCTGCTCCCCAGAATTACTCAAAAAAAAAAAAAAATCTTAGAGGGTATCAGGATATTCTGGAACACTTTTAACTGGGAAAAACCACTATTTTAGCATTTAGTCATCCACTATACCATGTTAAACACAGTGCTGGCGAGCCAAGTAATGTCCAAGGCCTGTCATCCATATAGAGAGACAGCACACCCAGAGGAGAAAAAAGAACACAGACAGTCTGGCTCGCAGCCAAAACCTTTTATGTTTTGTGGGGTTATGCCCCCCCTTTTTTTACTTTAAGGAAGGGGCAGGAGATACCAAACCCCACGCTACTGGAGGGCCATGACTCACAGAACAGGGCTGTGCTGGGCAGTTTTTATAGGTGACTGCATTTGCTCATCCGACAATTAAAGCATCGGTCCATTTGGTCTGAAAACCGACTCTGCAGTCTGCTTTCCAAGGCCGGGCAAAGATGAATCTTGCAGGTCTTGGCCTGGAACACGAAGCGTGCTTCCCACCCGCATCCCACCCTCAGAAGACATTTTACACTCAGGAGCCACTTAAACAAGACAGTATCAGAAAAGCAAAGAAATTAAAAGTAAAAAAAGAAACAAAGTTAGTCAATACACACTGCGAGCTCCAACATATACTATACCCATCTGCATTCTTCAAGACCTCAGCTGCAGAATTTTATGCCCACTGTTGAAAAGTTTTAAAGGAAAAGTTTTCTTGCCCACACCTGCAGTAAGGAAGTCAGGGGAATGATACATAAAAGTAAAGGCAAAGTGGTAATGGTATGTGACAATTTTAAAGCTCATCTGTGCATATGACACAGGTATGTGTAATACTAAAGTATGAATATAGTTTAGGATTCGCAAGCATCCAGGAATAATGTAGTGTCTACTGAAAATGGGGGTCTTTTCTTATTTTCTTTTTCTTTCTAAGCTACACTTTTAAAGTTACTTGTGAAAAAAAAAGCAAACACTTTTTTTTTGTTTTTGTTATAACAGCTTTAAAAATTGGTTGTGACTCACGGCTCGATGAACATGAGGCTTTTCTGCAACTCCCTTGCAGATTGATGTAGGCAGGCAAAGATACACTGAACCTTTATAAATAAAATAGAGGGGCCACAATTGTTCAGTTTGTATGAAATAAAAATATGGGAAGCAATTCAATAGCAACTCAATACACAAAGAAAGAAAAGCACTTATTCACTTACGAAACAAAGTGCAAAGTACCTGCACAGCCCTGCTAACGTGCCAGAGGGGATTTAAGTACTCAGCAAGGCGCAGAAGGGAGATACAAACCGTAGTGGTAACATATTTTGCACAGGCTGTCATTTCTTTTCTTGGACAACTACAGCGGCCGGCTCTTGCAGGCAACCTACCTACACGCCTCCGTGCGTACGGCGCGGCCTGGGCACGGAGCCTGCCCTACCACCTCTCTCCGGCAGCCAGGGCCCGGAGCGGCGGGCTCCTCCCGAGGCTGGCCAACGCCGGGCCATTTCTAGGGCAGGGGCCGAGGCGACCTACCACTACCGGGCTGTCTGGGCCGAGCTCGCCGGGCCGCCCAGAGCCGCGCCGAGGCCCGGGCCCGCTCCGCCAGCACCGCCCGTCGCGCCGCTCGCTCGCTCGGCGGCGCCGGGGCAGGCCTCTGCGGGGCGGGGCGGGCCGGGGCTCCGGCTCTGGCCCGCCGCATCCCCCGGCGCGGGGGGATCGATCGCGCCGCAGGTCCGGAGCGGAGGCAGCAGCCGCGCCGGGCTCCGTGGGGGTGAGGCGGCCGCCAGGCCGCGGCGTTTCCTGCAGGCCCCGCCCGCCCCTACTCACCGTCCCGGGCCGTGCCCATGAGCTGGTCTAGCAGGGCCCGCATCTGCGCCTGGGCCGACATGGCGGGCGCTGGCCGTGCCGCGAGACGCGGCGGGCGAGTATCTCCGGCCTGGGCGGCGGCGGCCTCAACGGCGGCTCCGGCCTCAGCGGCGGCGGCAACGCACGACGGGCGCTGGGCGGAAACGGCCCCTCCCGCCACCGCGCGGCATGCCGGGACCGGTAGTCCGCCGGGGGGGCGGGGCACCGCTGGGCGTACGGCGGGGGAGGGGAGGGGCGGGGCGGGCCGGAGCGGAGCAGCCGCTCCCCCATGGCGCCGCAAGGGCCTGCGGGAGGGAGTGGCCGAATGCATGCCTCGGATCCCCGCCGCAGCGGGCAGCTGCTGAGGCGTCGGGCGGGGGCACGGACAGCGGGCTCCTCGCTGGGACCCATCAGCAGCGCTGCCCCTGCGTGCCGCAGCACCCATCACCAGGCCTGACCGCGTGGGCCCGTTAGCGGGCCACAGCGGCTGCCGAGCCGTGCCAAGCCGTGCCAGGCCATGCAGGGCCATCAACAAGCGGTGCCAACCCATGCAGAGCCATGCCAAGCTGTGCGGTGTGGAGCCATTGTGGGCAGGCGAGCGGGTGCCATCAGGGCGCAGACCAGAGTGGCTGTGGTTTACCAGCTCCCACTCGCCGTGTTTGCCCAGCAGTGCTCCAGCGGGATGGCTGCTGCCCCCACCCCGGCCTTACTGTGTTTGGAGAGGGGAGGGGGAGTGCTGCGGAGCCGGAGCCAGAGCCAGAGCAGGCGCCGGTGCCCAGCTCTGCCCCTGCAGGGAGCCCCAGGGCTGCTGCCCTGGGAGGGGAGGGTGACAGACATGGCCCTCTCCTTGCCAGTGCCGCACTGTGCTACAGGCTGGGGCCCACCCCTCAGCCCCAGGGTGGCAGGGAGAGCAGACTGGGAACTGGGTCACCCTGAGAGCAGGGGACAGGGCAGCTCCAAGCAGGGCTCTGGCTGTCCCAAACCCCGATGGCCTTTGTCATCAGCACAGGCAGTCACAGGGTCTGGGTGCTGTGTCAGGCTCCCACCATGCCATGCCGTCCACCCGTCCTGCATCCTCTGGCCATCTGTGGCCTCAGCACCCTGTGTCCTGCAGCAGTTTCCAAACCCTGCCCATCTGTGACCCCCAGCTGTGCCCTGCATGGCCATTCTGGCACTTCCTGTCGCCAAAACAGAACAGCACCTCTGGCCACAGCCACTCTGGGACCTGAGCTGCTCACCATCGTCATTGTCTTCAGTCCCTCATGTGGGCCAGCATGGTCCCATAGCAGAGACATGGGGCACCCTGCCGGCACTGCAGTCCTCGGTGCTGGCCCCAGCCATGGGACTGCCCCAGTTGCTCTCCACATGTCATGTCTCCATCTCTGCATCCATTGCAACTGCCTGGACAGAGCCACCACCCCTGGGCGCTCAGCCCCATGCCCCCTGGGACCACAGCACCCTGAAGTGCCATCTCCTGATGGTGGCCATATCCTGCTACCTCAAAAGGTTCCAAACCCCATCCGGGGGCTGGTCAGGGAGCCCTACACCTGCCTTAGGGGCATGGAGCTGGAGATGGGAGGTCCAGACCCACGTGGGGGCTGCACAGCACCAAGGGGGACCCCATGGAGAGGCTTCACCCACTGCGGCGGCAGCGCCTGTTTGCAGAGGCATGGCTTGATAGGCAGTGTGTTCTTCAGAAGATCCCTACTCCAGGAGTCAAAATAGCATGAAATTCAATTTTACGCCTGTTTGACAAAGCTTGATTTCACCTCCAATCAGCACGGAGATAAGAGCCCTCGGCACAAGTGCACGGGCAGTTTGGCAGCTGGGGCTGCCGATTTAATAGGTGAATTTACAGGAACAACACTTGAAAATCCCCTGGCTAGTGAACCATTAAGGTGAGCCCTGCCTTCCGTCCCCACATCCCTCCCCGCACCGCTCTCCCGTTGCTGGGTGCTAAAGCAAACCCCGGCTCTATTTACCGAGTCTACTATTACAATACAGCTACCAAATATTTGCCAGCCGTCAGCTCCCTGCTCCGCTATAAATACTTCAGGCCCAGGTGGAGGGACGGGAAGGGAGAGCAGCGCGGGAGCCTATGCATGGCCAGGCAGCAGTGCCAAGGTGAGTGCCGAGCCGCGGCCCCGGGGGATGCCCTCCTGCCCCGCGGTGTTCCTGCGGCTCTGGGTGGCTGTGGGGAAGGGAGGCCCCATAGCTGGGGCAGCCCCGCGTCCCTTTCCCTGCAGGCTGGAGGTATGTGGTGCCTGCAGAGGCTGAGCTCCAGGGCAGCATGGAGGCAGGGATGGGGGTCCTGCTGTGGGGAGGGCACAAAGAGGGGTGCGTGGTGACCCCAGAGATGGCAGCGGTGCTATCTCAGGCATGGCAGGAGAGGGATTTGTCCCCCAGGATTCATCCCCTGCCTCATGACCCTCTCAGGGCTGGGGCAATGGCATGTGGCCAGGGATGCCCTGCAGTGAGGGAGAGCTGGGGACCCATGGGCACAGGTAGCACTAACTACGGGGGGCCTCATCCAGCTCAACAAGACCCAGCTGTGGCCAGAGCCCACCAGGGCAGTGCAGGGAGGTGGCCGTGGTCACCCTGTTGCAGGGAAACACATGGGGCCATTGTGTGGGCAGGACATAGGGCTCAGTGTCCCCGGTGCTCAGCCCATGGTGGCAGGGTGGGTGCTGAGCACCATTCAAGCCCATGTACAGCCCCAGAGGGATGGGGAACAGCTGTGGGAGATGTCACCACTGCCCCTTGGCTCATGCCTCGGGGGATGTCCCCACTGCCCTACATCCCATGAATTGATGGAGACATCCCTGCTGCCCCACATGCAATGACTTGGAGACATTCCCATTGTCCCACATCGCATGGATTTGCGTGGACATCCCCACTACCCCACATCCTATGGCTTGATGGGGATGTCCCTGTTGCCTGATGCACCAGGATTCAGTTAGAATATCCCCACTGCCGCCTTACCCCGTGACTCAGGGTATGTTCCCACTGCCCCATCTCACATGTCTCAGTGGGGGCATCCCTGCTGCCCAATGTCCCAGGTTCAGTGGGGATGTCCCTGCTGCCCCATGTTCCATGATTCAGGGCAATGTGTCCACTGCCCTGTATCCTATGGCTTTGGTAGGGACACCTGTGCTGCTCCATGTCCCATGGCTTGTGGGGGATGCCCTGCTCTGCCTGCCCTACAGCACAACACGGTCCCTCTGCCTCCTCAGGGCCAAGCACAGCGCAGCAGGTCGGGGGCTGTGGGGTGCGTGCCACCTTCACCCGCTGTCCTGCCCGCAGGGTGAGCGCGGGCCCCGGAGTGCCCCTGCGTGCTCACATGGCTGCGGGCGTCATCCGGCCATTGCCCGAGCTGCGGCTGCCCTCGCCCTTCCCGCACGGCCTGCTGCTGCCCATGCGCCCTGAGCCCGACTTCCACAACCTCTCCGAGGAAGAGGAGGAAGATGAGGATGAGGATGAAGAGGAGGCAGCAGAGGAGAGCACAAGGCTGGAGCCGGACCTCCCCAGCGCTGCCGAGCCCACGCTGCAGCTCCTCCGGTTCTCGGAGCTCATCAGCTGTGACATCCAGCGGTACTTCGGGCGGCGGGGCCAGGACGAGCCCGCCGGCAGCCACGGTGTGCCCGAGGACTGCAGCTCACCCCGGCACACGGAGCCCGAGGCACCACGGGGCAGCCCCGGAGCCATGCACAGGCTGGGGCCGCTGGCAGAGCTCTTCGAGTACGGCGTGCACCGGTGCCTGCCGCCCCGGGCGGCCAGTGGCAAGACGCAGCGGCTGGAGAGGAAGTACGGCCACATCACCCCCATGCACCGCAGGAAGCTACCGCCCTCCTTCTGGCGGGAGCCGGGCCCCAGCCCTGCCGGTCTCCTCCACACCGGCACCCCCGACTTCAGTGACCTTCTGGCCAACTGGACGGTGGAGCCGGGGCCGGAGCTGGGCCTTGGGCGGGAGCTGCAGCCGGAGTCGGGCCGCCCGGGGCTGGAGGCCGAGCCCTTTGCCGGTCTGTGACCCCACCATGGCCCCCAGCCCCGCCACGTGCGGCCGGTTAATGATAAACCTGGCAACAGTGGTGCCAGCGCCGGGCACCTGGAGCTGCCGGGGCAGAGACGGCCATGGGACAAGTGAATAAATGACTCCTGCCAGGCACCGGTGTGTGCCGTGTCCTTCTCCACCCGCCACCGGTGACAAAGGGCCACTGCTCAGGCCAGCCCTCGGCAGGAACCGGCTGCCCCGGCGGTAGGGAAAGGAGGGAAGCGCGGTGCCGGCAGGAGCCAACAGCCCGTGTTTACTCTGCAGCCCAAGTCAGTGCATCCCAGTCCCTTATCTCGGCTGCACCGGGGCAAAGGGCAATGCGGGGCTTCACAAAGCACCCAGCTGGGACCCATCACTGCCATAGGGACCAACTGCACCCTAGGGCTCCCCTGCCCCATGGCCGTGCTGGGGAACCAGACCCACATGGAGAGCAGGGCCATTTCCCGGTGCTGGGAGGGCAGCCTGCCCTTCCTCACAGCCCCCACCGCCAGACCTGGCTGTTACCAGGGCCCAGCCGAGGCATTCCCTGCTTTGTGGCAGCTCTTTGTTGGCCATGAAAGGAGAAGCCCCCGGGAAGGGGCAGCCACCCCCTGCCGTGAGCACTCAGCCCTGCCAAGGGCTGATGAAGATGGGGGACACTGGCATCACCCCCTGCAGCCCCCCAGCATGCAGCCCCCTGACTTGTGCCCTCCCAGCACCAGCAGTGGGGATGGGGCTTGGCTCAACCCCAGGGGTCCACCAACAGCCATGGTGCTAAGGCCAGAAAGTGGCATTGGAGGAATGGAAGCAAGAGCCAGGCAGCAGCACAGTAAAAGTACAAACAGGCTTTATTTCAGCACAGTATCCCACAGTCGAAAGCCCCTCCAGGCACCAAGTTGCCTTTGCCCGAGTGAGGAGGATGCAGGGTGCAATGCCAAGGTGAGGAGTACAATGGTGGGAGATAGGGGAGCTGAGGTGCCAGGGCTGGAGCCCTCCTCGGCACCCAAGGGAGTGCTTCCAGCCCCTGGCCAGATCCAGGGCTGGTGGTGGGCTTTGGGGTGCCTAGTCTGTCCCAGGCTACTGGAAAGGACTGGAAACACATGCAGGGGTGCTTCTGGACCCCAGCATGGGCAGAGGCGAGAGGCAGCAGCAGTAGTGGGAGGAGGGCAGGAGTGGCAGAGTGGCACAGGGTGCCCCAGAGCAGGCAGCTCTCCCCTACCCATCCCTACCCATATCCCAGGAGTATCTCCCCAGCGTGTGTGCTGGAGTCAGAGTTTGGCCAAGGGATTCAAAAAACAGCAAAAGGGAGCAGCTCTGAACAACAGGAGCCCCTTTTATTGCACAGTTGAGCAGGGCAGAGACACAAGCACCTGTCCCATGGCTCAGCTCAAACCCGCCAGCAGCAGCATGGGGCATCAGGACACAGCCCTGGAAGCAGGAGGGATCCCACCACGGCCCCCTGCTCCCCACACAGACCCTGTGGCAGGGGCCAGGGCAGGGCTAGGTCCCAGACAGCCTGGGCTGGGTAGGCGAGGCAATGGAGGCCATGTGCTGTGGCAGAGGGTGATGCCCAGCTCAGGACATTTCCACTCCCCTGGCATGCTCCAGCCTTCACCCAACCCTCAGGGAAAGCCTATGCCAGCAGCTAATGGAGCCAAGGGTGCGTTTCAACCCCTCAGGGAAGCAGAGGAAAGGGTGAGAAGAGGAGGCAGTAGACGTGGGAAGGCAGCAATAGGCAGGAGAGCCGGGGCACCGCAGCCGTGCCGGTGCTCCAGGCACCACAATGCCTGCACAGGCCGGCCCAGGCCTCTCCCTGCCTCCCGCAAAAGGGGGCCCCAGCTCCAAGGGGCCGGGGTGAGTCTCCCTCCGCTGGGCAGAGCCACCCCACATCACGTCTGTGCCAGCGAGAGCTCCTCCAAGCCTTCCTTGCCCAGCCGGTACCTGGCGAGGTCCTTGCGGGTGACCATGCCCACCACCTGCAGGGACAGGGATATGGTACAGCCCCACGCTGTCAGGCAGAGCTCGGGGACGAGCCCCAGCTGCCCATAGCCAGCGAGCAGGACTCACCTCATTGCGATTGTTCACGACCACTAAGTGCCGTAGGCCCAGGGCTCGGAAGAGCTTGAACACCCGTGGCAGAGACGCCTCCTGCATGTCAGAGGGGACACATGGGCTGTGGCATCCCCAGCCAGCAGCCATCACCCACCCATGCCCCCAGGATGGACCCCCCAGGGGTCCCTGTCCATTACCTGGGGCACAGTGTAGGGTGAGGGGTTCATGAACTCGCTGAGGTCGATCATGCACTCGCGCTCATCTTGGGACACGTGGATGGACTGGATGGGGGGAAAGCGCGGGTAGGCATCCCGGAAATCCTTCAGCTTCAGCCGCCGCTGCACCAGGCTGAGGTTGGCCCTTTCCACAAAAACCTGGGGAGGAAAGAGACTGTTTGGGACCATCCTGCAGCACCAACAGGCACCAGGCAATGTACAGGGGAGGGAGGGAAGAGGGCAGGAACATGGGGCAGATGGACCATCTGCAGAAGAACTGTTTCCCATTCACTCAAGGGCTTGTGAGCCCAGTGGGGTGCAGGAAGACGCTGGGGTAACCCCAGCACAGCATGGAAGCCCCCACCCTCTCCTCAGGTAAGCTGAGGCTGGTGACAGGGACCATCCGCCAGCTCTGGTTTAGCAAGACAGGCAGAACAGGGGCACCAGGGCTCAGACACAGCTCCAATGGCCGCCACACAGCATCACCCACCTTGTGCTTCAGCAGAACGATGAGCTGGGAACGTAGGATCAGACCCCGCAGTCCTGCCACCTGTGACAGAGCACAGCACATGAGACAGGGGATGGGGCAAAGGCAAAGGTCCCATTCCATGGCTAGCTCTCACCAGCGGCTCCTGCCTCACCTGCGTGGTGCCAGAGTTGCTCTCCACCACCGGGAAGCCATTGTGGTTGGAGGAGGTGTCGCTGAGGATGTCCACAACCGTGCCCACCCGCTCGATCCTCCGCAGGCAGGTGACAGGAGCGCTCATGACCTCCCTGCAGGGATGGCTCAGTGTGAAACATGCAGCACGTCCCAAATATCCCCCCGCTCCCACACACAGGCCTCTGCAGCCCTGATGCCTCCCCTGTCCCCAGAGCCTGCCAGGGACACTGGGAGGGAATGCACCGCCGGCCACACTCCCTACTAGGGAAGGAGCGGGGCTGGTGGCACCACACAGCAGTGACCAAAGTGCGTCACCACCTCTACTGCCAGCTTGGGCCAACAGTGTGGTCCAAAAGCCACTGCCCCAGGACTGGCAGCATCCCCCAGGCACCTACCTTGCTGTGAGGGAGTGGGACGTCACCGGGGCCTCCCAGTGCAGGAAGGGCACGCTCTGCAGCTGGATGTGCATGTCATAGAGCCCCTGCAATGAGAGCCCAGCCATTAGGAAAAGCCTGCTGAGATGCCAAGGAGTATGGCAGCTGTCCTCGGAGAGAGGACACCACTTGTCCTTGGCCCCCAGCACCACCAAACCTGACCCTGGCGAGCACACCAGGTCTCACCTCCACGAAGTAGTCTCCCACAATCTTTGCTGTCATCAGCACCAGCATGATGGGGAAGCCATAGGTGACATTGCCTGTTGCCTCCATCATGATGACTGTGAGACTCAGCGTCATTCGCACTATCCCACCTGCAGGAGACACCCAAGGGGTTTGGGAGTTCAGGAAAGCAGAGAAACATGGGGTGATGGTACAGCAGAACACCAAAGGTGCCCAAGTCTCTGCATGGCGATCCAGGATTGCCAACACAGACAGGGGTGCTCTGGACAAGCCCAGACCTCACTTGCGCCCCAGTGCTGCCTGTGCTTGGCAGGGTAGCTGGGAAGCTGACAGCAAGGCTGGGCTTCAGCTGGGGAAGGAGGGACCACCTCTTCCCATGCCACCTTCACCCCAACTGGAGCAGGCACTCACCCAGCTGTGCAGCAGCTCCCATCAGGGCGTATTTCCCAGGGTCAGCCCAGATCTGAGCACGGGAGGGAGAAGAGGCTGAGTCAGTTGCTGGCTCCAGGGCACTCAGAGATAGTGAGCAGTGCCCTGGCCCCCACCCTCCCTCCAAGAAGTGGGGAGGAATGCCTGAGGCTGCCTGCATGACCGAGCAGCTGGCAGGGCCCCACTGGGACATGGGAAAGCCCAGACTCAGCTCAGGAAGGCATCCCATTCCAGACTGCTGTGCCAAGCTCTCAGCCAGCTCCATGCTGCCTGAGCATGCCTCTTGCCCAGAGGCAAGGGAGGAAGGCTGGGTGCCATGGCTTCCACTGCCCAGCATCCCTTCGCACCAGCCACTCACCGAGCCTTTGGTCAGGTAGGACAGGGAGATGCCAAAGAGCCTTCCCCAGGCAGCTCCGATCAGCAGGGAGGGGATAAAGACCCCCGCGGACACCGTGAGGCCATAGGTCCAGCAGGCCAGGAAGAAATACATCAGTGTGAACATGCCCAGTGTCATGGGGTTGTAGGAACCTGAGGTGGAGAGAGAATGGAGTTAGTGCTGGTCATGCAGCACGATGGACTACAGCCACAGAACAGACAGCAGCAGCCCCACAACATACTCCCAGCAGCACGAGCCTTTCAAACTGGCTCTTTAAGTTATTTCTGTTCCCTCAAAGGCCCTGCCAACCAGCCAGTGCCGTCCCAAGCCATCCCATCCCACTGAATCCAGCACATGCCTTCCCTTCATCTTGTGACCCGGGATGACCCATTCCCTCCCAGCCCCGTGGTTCCCAGCCTCCCACAAGGCACGGTGATGAACTCCAAAGCCCCCAGGGAAAGCCAGTGCTGGAGGACAGAGGTGCTGGGGAGCTGGCAGGGGTCCTGCTGCCAGCCCTGGGATGAACTCAGCAGGGTTGGTCTTGCAAAACCCGTCGCGTCCCACAGCTCCCATGGCTGCTTCCACCAGCCCCAAGCTGCCCCTCGGCACAGGCTGTGCCATCACAGGGAGACCTCAGGACTCAGCCAGCGGCTGTTTTAGGATTGCTGAGCAGCTCAGTCTGGTTTAAACGAGTACTCTGCAACCTCTCCTTCACAGGGAGGTCAAGAAACCAAAGCCCTGAGCCAGGGAGGGCCCAGCACTGCAGGAAGCAGCCCCAAGACACA